TTTTTTTTTTATCTTTTCAGGCAGCTGTTTCTCGACTGATATACAGTTTATATCAGCAGTTGTTTTTATAATATTTTTTACATTTAAACAGGATATCCTGCTTCTCATCTGCTTTTTTGCATCTCCACTCCTTACTGTTCACAGTACTTACTCTCCATGTTTACACCTATATATCTTTTATCTGCTAACCTTGCAGCAGCAATTATGTCTGCTTTTTATCTCTCTGGTAATATGAATCAGCATAAAAATCCACGTTGTAGGGAAGGCTACCATGAGTTATAAACTGTCTTGGTAGCAGCCCGGGAAATAATTCTTTTGGTAGCATGAGGTTAGATATTAGGAGGAAGCTTTTTACTGTGAGGATGGTAAGGCCCTGGCACAGCTGCCCAGGGAAGCTGTGGATGCCCCATTCCTGGAGGCACTCAAGGCCAGGCTGGATGGGGCCCTGGGCAGCCTGAGCTGATGGGGAGCAGCCCTGTCCACGACAGGGGCTTGGAATTGGGTGGGCACTGAGGTCCCTTCCAACCCAAGCCATTCTACATCTGATTCCATGAGAAGCTCCATCTTGCCTGACAAAATGTGAGAGCACATTTTGCAAAGTAGCTGCAGTAACATTATCAAAGGATGTTTCCCTCTGGAGTAATGTTTTTCCACAGCCAGCTGATGACACCCAGGGAAATAGGCAGAACTAGACTGGCAATTAGAACAAACAAGTACCTAAAATCTGTACAAATGTACAAGCAACATATAGCAGTCCTGCTTTGTAGAAATGCATTGGTGAGATTATTTAATTTCAATTTACATTTACCTGCAGCCCTTACAACCACTTCCTAGAAGGTGCTCTGGCTGATCTTATTTCCTGAACTTCTGAAAATATCAAAGACATTTGGTATACACAGTTAACATAACATAACAGGAGACAGGGCCCTGAATCCAGAGTTCCCATGTATCTGGTACCACATTAGCTTAATTTATTGCTCACAGTAAGCTGCGGTTGTCTGAGCAGATAGGTTTTTTAGTTGTATTATTTGACATCATTACTGTTGAATATGCACCAGAATACCATGTGGTAAGTACGTAATAAATCAGCTCATTATGTCTATAATTGTTATGATTATGTGTTGTTCCAGATCTCAGTTTTGTTGACATAAAAAGAGGTAAACAGTATAAATTACTGACTCACCAAATGGTAGTTTTAATTTGTTGAGAAAGCAGAGGGTTATTTTTTTTGCATGGCCTGTTTCACATTTAGAACCACAGTAATGAATATATAGAATATTTGTGAAACAGGAATAGGAGAATGTGAAATTAATCATACCCAAATGTACTACACAGACACAAATGGTGAAAATATTAGTACCACAACACATTGACCAAAAGCTTCCTGCCATATGAAATGAATCAAAGAAACACAGAATGGTTGAGGTGCTTTTCAGTTGATTGAGTAGCCCCAGTATATACCAATGCATGGAGATATTCCTCCCTCGGTGCAGGACTTCACATTTTCCCTTGCTGAGCTTCATGAGGTTTCTATCAGCCCATTTCTCCAGCCTGTCCAGGTCCCCCCAGATGGCAGCAAGACAGTCTGGTGTATCAGCCACTCCTCCAAATGTTGTCGTCAGCAAACTTGAAGAGGGTGCACTCTGCCCCTTATCCAGATCATGAACAGAACTAGACCCAGAATCAACCCCTGGGGTACACCACTTGCTACTGGTCTCCAACTAGTCTTTTGGCACTGATCAGAACTCTCTGAACCTGGCTGTTCAAAAAACTTCCAGTTTACCTCAGCACCTACTCACTTAGCCTATGCTTTATCAGCTTCTCTATGAGAATCTTCGGGGAGTCAGTGTCAAATGCCTCAAAGCCACACTGAATTAAAGGAAGACCACTGCTCTCACTTCATCTACCACGCCAGTTTTTTTCATCAAAGAAGTTCTTCAAGTTGGTCAAGCATGGTTTCCCTTTTTTCAAAGATTTTCAAAGGCATGTAAGAGAGGCAGCCTTGAAAGTCTCTGAGTCATGCCAGTTCAGCTGGAAAGACTGGGAAGTTTTTCTCTGGGCTACCGTACCCTTCCTTTTAGGGTTGTCAAACACGTGGAGGACCTGCCTGCAATTCTGAAGCCAAAATAAGACAACTATTGTGATTTACACTTCATGCTCGTGCTTCAAAAACAGTCCTCAAATGTTTTCCTGCTGAGTTCAGATAAAATCCTATCATGTTTCAATTTCAATTAATCCCAAAGTCGATTTCCAAAAAAGAGGGAAGTATTAGCTATAAATATTAAGACAGATGAAATTTCTCTCTTTGCAAGCAATGGCAGAGCCAAATAAGCGCTACCTGGAGGCAAGCTTGACTCTCACCTGCCCTTGGTGTGTGTTATTTCTTCCTAGGTGGGAAAAGTTGCTGTAGAAGGTAACAGCACTAATATTCTTTCGGTGAATTGGGAAAAGGTGCTGAAAGAAAAAGATGACAGTGGAGTTAAAGCTGCATCAGAGGATGCAAAAAGATTGGCTAGCTTAGATAATTAATTGGTTAACAGAGTGCTAAGACTGTGATTTTAGTATCTTGGGCTAAGGGGAGAGTGTATGATTAACGGAAAGGGTCTGTATTAGGAGTTTGGATAAGCAAATTTTTTGCTTAGGAAAGTTTAGGAAAGCCACAATAACTGCCCTCCTGATGTCTGAGGATGTCTTTGTAGCAGCAAAGCCTGTAAAGTCTATAGCTACCTCTTCCTGAAAGTCCAATGGCTGATAAAGGAAATTGCATCATCCAGTCTTCTTCTTTAAGAAAAAAGGGGAAATTTTTCTATAGTAATATTAATGGCAACAGGATTAATTCTAGGAAGTCTGGAAATGTTTTTGTAGAAATTATGTCATTTAAGAGAATAATGAGAGGAGTTTGTCAACCTGATCTGATTCCAGACTCAGAGATGACAAGGGTAAGGACTAGGCTCTGTAACAATCCTCTGAAGCACCAAAAAAGGAGCAAGACTGTAACAAGAACAAAGTAGAGTCAGATTTCCAGGAACCCTTGGCTGTGCCAATACTGTACATCTCCCAGAAACCCTTGGCTGTGCCAATACTGTACATCTCTGTTTTTCCTGATGAAGTTTGATGCTCTCCCCACTCTCCCCCTCTGGTGAGGTTCTCAGTGTTTGGATGTTCAGGCTCTTAAAACTACTGCTATTTTTTATTTTGGCATATGTAAAGAAGCAGCTGTTGATAGCAGTTACTGAAGATCTAGCTTAAATTTTCCATGGGTAAAGACAGAAAGCCACATTCAGGCATGGATATTACATAAATATGTGCTGACCTCAGTGGCCAGTGTTGGAGAATAAGTTGCACGCTCCATAGTAGGAAACATGAGAATCATAGAAGCATAGAATATCCCAAGTTGGGAGGCATCCACAAGGACCATCAAGTCCAACTCCTTGGTCCACACAGAACCACACAAAATTCAAACCTTTGTCCAAACACTTCTTGAACTCCAGCAACTGGGGCCCTGAACACTGCCTGGGGCAGCCTGTTTCAGGGCTCAATTACCCTCTGGTTTAGAACCTTTTGCTAACACCCAACCTGACTCTCCCCTGATGCTGCTCCATGCCACTCCCTTGGGTCCAGTTGCTGTTACCAGAGAGCAGAGCTCAGCGCTTCCCCTCCACTCCCTATGAGCTGTAGGCTGCCATGGTCCCTTCAGCCTCCTCTTCTGAACTGAACAAGCCAAGAGACCTTGGTTAATTCTTATACATCTTGCCCTCTAGACTTTTCCCCGTCTTCTTAGCCCTCCTTTAGACACTGTAGTTGTTTTATGTTCTTCTTATTATTGCAGTGACCAAAACTGCACCCAGTGTTCCAGGTGAGGCCACACCAGCACAGAGCAGAGTGGGACAATCCCTTTCGTCACCCAGCTGGCAGTGCTGGGCCTGGTGCACCCCAGGGTATGTTTGGCCCTTTAGACTGCCAGAGCATGCTAATACCTCAGATTCAACTTGTATTCAACCAGAACCCTTTCTCTGGGGCTGTTCTTCATCCTCTCGCCCCCAGTCCATACATGTATTCAGGGCTGGCCCATCCCAGGTGCAGAATCTGGCACTTTTTAAACTTCATGTGGCTGGTGACTGCCCAGATCTCTGATATGTCAAAGATCTCTTTGCAAGGCCTCTCTACTCTCAGGGGAGTCAACAGTTCTTCCCAGTTTAATGTGTTTCACAAACTTATTATTATACCTTTGAGTTTTGCGTCAAAGACATTTGTTAAAAACATTAAAAAGAACTCACCCTAAAATAGAGCCCTATGGAACTCCATGAATCAGCAACCATCATTTAGGATCAGTAACTGAGCCTGAGGGTGTTTTGCTGTGCAGTGAAAAACATATGGATCCACTAATACGGATAAGGGGAATATGATTTATTAATGCTTGGGATGATTAGGTATCAAAAGATGATTTGTTGGGTCTTTTAGCCTGCTGTCGTTTTTTGGTCCCCAATTTTTTTCATGTTACAAAGCAGTGTAAAAACAGGAGTTCTCCTCACAGCTTCTCCCACAGTATTTCCATAAAGGAAAGTGGAAGAGTTGGAATCTCTCTGGTTGAAAACCTGCACTCAAATCTCCTGGCACTGCAGAACTGTTTCCTGCGATTGCAGCAGATAGAGATAAAATTCCACACTGGTGGGAATAGACTGCAATTAGAGCAAAGATTTCCAGACAAAAATGAGTCCTAACAAAAAATGTTTTCCTTGCTAGTATTTTTGTGGGGATGTTGGTTTTTGTTTGTTGTTGATGTTTTGGTGTTTTTGTTTGTTGTTTTTTTTTTGCTGGCTCGCCGCGGGCAGACCGGACAGCGCTTCACAGTGGCAGCTAAATTTACCTATCAAAAACAACAATCCGAGCTGAAAGCGTGACAAGAGTCCACCAGTATTTGCATACGCTGCGATCCCACATGCAAATGTGTACAACCCCGCAAGCAAACGGCTCATTAGGTGCCTAGATAGCAGTCTGGAGGCACACTTCCTCGACTGACTCGTGCAGGACAAGCACAGGTGGATGGGACTGGTGGATTTCCTACGTGCAGGTCTGGCTCTTCTGTTGCGGAGCAGCCACCCGGCTGCTTTCGCCGCCGGTAGCTTTGCGCTGGGAACGGGAGCGAGCCAGCTCGCGCGGTCGCCGGGCGGTGCGGAGGAGATGCGGTGCGATCCCCGGTGCGCCCCGGGGTCTCCGCCACGGCTCCGGGGCCTCTCGCTCAGCTCCGTTCCCTCGACGGAGAGCAGGAGCTCCCCGCGTCCCGGGCCGGCGGCTGCGGGACCGTAAGAGCCGGGTTCTGCCCGCGCGGAAGCAGCCGCCCGTCCGCCACTACCGGCACCGGCAGGGCAGGAGCCCGGGGCTGCCCCGCTCCGCCGGCGGCCGCAGGGGGGAGCGCTGCCCTGCCGGGCTCCCCGCCTCCCCGCGCCGGACGCCGGCCTGCAGCCGCAGCTCCGAGCGGCCCGGAGGTGCCACCGCCCGCCCGGCTCGGTTCGGCTCGGGTGCCCGAGGCCGTTCCCGCAGCCGTTGCCTCCTCTCCGCCCGCTCCGGCTGCCTCCCCCTACCTTCGCAGCGGGGAGGGCAGCCCGGCGCAGCCCTCCTCCCTCCGCCCGCCCTCCCACCGCCGCGCACCCTGAGGAAGGGCTTGTTTTCCTGGCCGGATGATGAATTTCTCCGCAAGGTCATCCCTGCCCGCGGCGGCGGCGCGCCCGCGGCTCCCTGGGCGCTGCCGCGGAGGTAAGGGGCGGGGGGAGCGGGGGGGAGCGGGAGCACCTCCACCCCCCGGCACATTTGCCCGAGCGTGGAGCGAGAACGGCTGCCCGGGGCTGCCGGACGTGGCGAGGGCCGCCTGCTCGCCCTGCCCGGCCGGGTGCCCTCCTCCGCAGAGGAGCGGGGCTGCGGGCAGCCCTGGGGGCCCGCTCCCACCTTCTGCTGGTTGTTACCGGTGCTTTGGCTCCCGCGCTTTCATCGCGCTCGAGTGCGGAAAACTTTGATCGTGATAACAATTAATAATAATAACGACGTGCCTTCGCCCCACCCGCCGTGCCGGGTTGCGGCAGTCCGGCCCGGCCGGAGGGATGCTCGGCGCGGTCGCCACGGTAGCGCTGCGGTCGCCACGGCAACGGCCCGCGGTGGCGCAGCGGGAGAAGACCCCGCGAGTCCCCGCAGCGGGTCGGGCCGGCCCGGCCCCCACCCCTGCCGCCGCCCTGCGGGGCTGAGCGCCGAACGGCGACCCCATGGCCCGCTCCGAGCCGCCACCGGGCTGCAGCGAGTGGCGGGCGGCAGCGCAGTGCAGGTGGACCGCGAGCTCTGGGCTCCCGCAGCTTTGCTCTCAGTGTGCCAGCCGGGGGCTCACCTGCTGGGTTTCAGACCTGCTGGGTTGCATTCGGATAACGGGGTGTGTTAAAGGCTTGCCCGGTGCCGCTCACCCCTTTTAGCGAGCTGCCTAGGTTTGCTGAGAGTTTGCCCGGAGCAACCTGGTTTGGGGTCATAAGTCCCCAGTGGGCCTCTTCTTTCTGCTAATGAAGTTAGCAGCCAAACTCGGTGAATTTTACCAAGTTCTGCTGTGCGCAGCTCAGCCTACTTTTGTGTTCCCTCTGTGCAGGCCTTGGCTTTGTTAACACTCTTTTCCTTTATCCTTCTTTCCTTTTCTCCCAGGGAAAGACAGCAGTGCTGCCAGCGGGCTTAGCAGAGTCCTGGTGGTGATCCCGTAGCCTAACCTTTTGTATAGTACAAAATACGGAGTGTTCCCCAGTGAGCTGGAGGCCTGGCCCACCGGCCTCTTCAAATAGCTGTGATTTAATGACTTCAAACGATGGGGAATTTACAGCATTCCTGGGTAACCGGCTCCAATTGTTAAAGTCATTGTCAAACGTTAGCATCTTATTTCCAGTTTGAACTTTTCTGACTTCATCTTCTTGCTATGAGATCTCGTAATGTCTTTGTCTGGCAGATTAAATAGCTCTCTAGTTTCAGATAGTCTCTGTGCAAGTATTTAAGGACGGTAATTAAAGAGCCACTTAGTGTTGTCTCTGATGAGATAAATAGGCCACGCTCCTTTGGTCTCTCCCAGGAATACAGAGACTCCAGAGGAAAAGCTGCCGCTCTTCTCCAGGCCCCAGAGCGGCCGCCTGCAAAGTGCAGCCACCAGCACGGCACAGTGGCTTCCAGGAAGGCTGCCATTAATGTCACTGCAGAGAGAATGACATCGGGCACAGTATTCCCCTGTCTATTCACCCAGCAGTACGAACTTTGCTTTCCCACGACCACGCGGTGGGAACTTGTGTGTCTGTGATCCCTGCATTTCTGGGCAAGCCAGGCTTTTCTCAGGAGTTGGTTGCCTGTCCTGGAAGGAGTATTTAAACTAAACTTTCCTACATGCATCACTCTGGATCTGCCTGTATTCAACCTTTTCTCCCCCTTCTATCACTTCCAGGGAGTTTGCAGTATGCTAACAATAGTCAAGCTCTGGTGTTTCTCCCTCTGCAAGTCAGCTTTTTCCGCCATGCTAAAAGCATCTTTTCCCTTCTCAGTCAGTGTAACCTTTAAGTTATTTGAAGTTTACTGGAGGAGAAGTTACACTGAGTAAGGCATAAATGAAGAACTGAAAGTGCCCACTGCAGTGAATTGGTTTCGTAGCTGCTTTTATTCAGCTGTGCCTCCAAGCGTTGGTGAGGGAGAGATCAGCTTTCTTGCCTTACAGAAAGGTAAAGCGTGATGCCAAGGCTGATGCATGCATGGTCACTATGTTGCAGGTCTTGAACTTGAATTGTCTGAGTTTAACTTGTCCAAATTGAACTCCACCCTGGGTTGATGGTTTTCTTTAGAAAGCACATGGCCTGACAGCATGGGCCAGAGGCTTCTGGCAGGATGTTGTCAACTTGTCTGGTAGCATGCAGCGGCCCAAAGGGGACTGAAAAGCTGTGGGTGGGAGATGTTCTCTGAAGTGAGATCTGTTGGAGTTTCTACAGCGGTGGAGTTGGCTTAGTAAAGCTGGCTGCCCTCTGCCTGTGGGGTTACCGGTGTGCCCTGAGGGAGGGCGATGTCAGAGAGGCGCAGTCAGGCAGCTCTGTGAGAGTGCTGGTGTGTGTGCAGCTGTGCTGAGCACAGCACTGAGTCGGTCGCTTTTTAACTAATGCCACTTAGAAAGTGCAAGAATCATTTCCTGTAAGCCTCATGAAGAAACACTGGGACTACAAACAAATGCAATGCTTGCAAAGCTACTGCTAGGCATGCCTGTGGTGCTTCTGTGGCACAGAAAAGCAGGGTATTTGCCCTTTCACGAGCAGAGGAATAGAAAGGCCCCTTATCGACATAGTTTCCCAGTATGTCGTCTGTTCATTGTTGTGGAGCATGGTGATAATACCATTACAGACCTCAGTAAGATTTAAAAAAAAAAAAAAATCTTTGGATTAAATAGTGCTCCATCATTTCCTCCTTCGAGGTGTTTCAGTTTGCAAAATCAAAGTCCTTATCTAAATAGGTAAACCATTCCATTAAGTGAGGTGATTCTATGAGGAGCATTTGTTCGCATGAATAAATATGGCAGGTTTCAGTCTGAATGTCTTCAGTGGTAGAATTAAGAAAATGTAAATTCTGATCATGTAGTGGCTTAAATATCAGTACAGTGAGCTCTCTTGAAATTCCACAAAGGATTTTTTGTGTTTTTTTTTTTTTTTTTTTTTTTTATCCTAGACCCTGAAAATATGTCTGTACAAAATGCTGCATGAGGTATTAACAGTGATGAATGAGGGAGGTGCCTATTAAAAGGGTAAAAATAATTACTGAGCTAAGATATCAGAGAATATCTGAGAGGAATGCAGAATCCTGTGAGCCCTTGAACTGCAGGAAATTCTTTTCATTTTGGTGTCAGCATATTAGAAATTGCTTATTGTGGATTTAACTGTAGATTTCCCCTATATTAAATTCTGAATTTCTGTTACCTGAAATGCAGATTTTCCTACTCATTCAAATGCTGTCTCTTTCTCCCAAACTGGGATAGTTGTTTTTTGTTGTTGTTGTTTGGTTTGGGATTGGTTTTTTTTGCTTACAACTTTCCTTTCTCAATGTTGCATCTTCTCTTCCACTCGTTTTGCCACTAGAAGAGCACATAGATCTCTCCATAGAGTGGTTGGTCCCAAAAGTCATCATTTTGAGTTACCATGACCAGCTTGGGTCAGTCTGGCATTAAGAGTGGTGCCTGGTGATTAACCCTGCTAGTCGGTGATGGACAGAAGATGGTGTTTTTATGAGTCTCACAGTTACAGTGTCAGCTGAAGAGTACTCAGCAAGGAGAGACAAGTGGTGGGTATAGCTAGGTTGATTTCATAAGAAAAATGTGGTTGAAGTACTAACATTTGTCAAATGGGTCCTACAGCCATTAGTGCAACGTTTATTTTTGAACATGAACAACATCCATTAGATGCAATCAAAACTAAGGGGAAGCTGATTATTACTAAGAACAGTACTCTGGCTGTGGTTTGCTTCTGAAATTGATGCAGGTGTGAAAAATGACATGCTTTAGTCCTACAGCTATAGAGCAAAATCTTGAAACTTGTATGACTCTTCTTCTAGATATGCATTATTCCTTAATTTATAAAACCTACAATGAAGACAGAGGTGGCACATAGGCTGAATCTGTTGCAGTTGTGGATTTGAGGCTAATCCTGGGTGTTATTTCATGAAATGTAATGATTTTGTATCTGATAAAACTTTCATATCTGTCCTATAGGGTTATGAACTGGTGCAGAATACTTCAAAAATAGTTGTGTAGTTAAAGTAAGTGAAACCCCAGCTTGAATAGGTTTCAGGATAAGGTTAGCTGAAAAACCAAGAAAGAGGCAGACTTTTCCTCAGTCTGCACCTCTGTGTACGTATGAATAGCATAACTGGCCAAAAAAGATGACCAGCGTGAGGAATTGTTGGCATTAGTTTGGCATTATTATGGAAGATTAGAAATGTACCAAAATTCACCCATTATTGTTTATTTATTAATCATGGATAGGAGTTGGACGCACTGTCTGTAAGCACTGCATGACAAGAGGGCTAAACTAC